TTTCCAAAATTGAAAGAATAATAATGATTGCTGAAATTTGTTTATCCATTAGCTGTCTCATTCTCTACTGTAAGCTCACCTAGCTGGCTCTGTCTGCTACTTATTTCGCAGAGCATGATTTTGCTCTCCAGGAAAATAGCAAATTACAGCCATCTTCAATATCTTAGAGCAGTTATTAGGAATACCATTTCCAAGTGACAACCTAGCAACCTCATCTAGTGATGAAGATGGACTTTTGTAGCCAAATTAGCATCACCTGGAAAACTGCAGACGATTCATCGCTTTATGCAACTACCTTAATATTCATAAGCCCTTTCTCCAATTGGACCAGATTTTTCATCCAAACAGCAACTCCTTAGTCAATATTTATGCTTCTTTTTTTAACCTCTGCACTCTTCAAATTAAAGGACTTCCCGCAATGCAGCCAATTAATCCATCCTTTCAACTTCCTTGGAACTTGTTGGCTTCATTGAACAAATGTAATCAAGTCAGTTACAAACAAAAACTTATCAGTTGTGTTTTCATGTCATTTCATGCTTCGTTAGCTTCCCCCCCCCATCGCTTTTGTATTTTTGTGTGTATGTTTTGTTTTGGCAGCCTGAATCCAGCCTCTCTTTGGTTACATTTATGATTCAATGAACTGTAATAATCCAGAAGTAGGTTAATGCGGTACTTAAGCTATGTTGTGGGAACAGAGCCATTCTGTCCTAGCTATCTGAGGTCTTACCCCCTTCTCCGCATGTTTATGAGCAAATTAATGATGCTTCTGACATAGACAAGAAAAGGGTGTAATAAAGAAACTAATTATTTGCAAGATTATCTTGGTCTGATTGCCCATAATGCATCAAGGATGACCTTCAGAAAGCAGTCAATCATGTATTTATTGGTTCTGAGGAGCATCAGAGAATAGAATAGAATAGAATAGAATAGAATAGAATAGAATAGAATAGAATAGAATAGAATTCTTTATTGTCCAAGTGTGATTGGACACACAAGGAATTTGTCTTGGTGCATACGCTCTCGGACTACATAAAAGAAAAGATATATTCATCAAGAATCATAAGGTATAACACTTAATGATAATCATAGGGAAACAGTCAATATAAATCTTAAGGATACCAGCAACAAGGTTACAGTCACACAGTCAGAAGTGGGAGGAGATGGGTGATAGGATGGGTGATCAGAAGATTAATAGTAATGCAGACTTAGTAAATAGTTTGACAGTGTTGAGGGAATTATTTATTCAGCAGAATGATGGTGTTCGGGAAAAAACTGTTCTTGTGTCTAGTTGTTCTGCTGTGCAGTGCTCTATAGTGTCTTTTTGAGGGTAGGAGTTGGCCAAGTGTGATTGGACACACAAGGAATTTGCTTTTGGTGCATATGCTCTCAGTGTGCATAAAAGACAAGATACATTCATCAAGAATCATAAGGTACAACACTTAATGATAGTCATAGGGTACAAATAAGCAATCAAATCATATTAGGAAACAGTCAATATAAATCGTAAGTATACAAGCAACAAAGCTACAGTCATATAGTCATAAGTGGGAGGAGATGGGTGATGGGAACGATGAGAAGATTGTTAGTAGTGCAGACTTAGTAAATAGTTTGACAGTGTTGAGGGAATTATTTGTTTAGCAGAGTGATGGCATTCGGGAAAAAACTGTCCTTATATCTAGTTGTCTTGGTGTGCAGTGCTCTATAGCGTCGTTTTGAGGGTAGGAGTTGAAACAATTTATGTTTATGTTTATGTAAGAACATTCATATAAGATGTGATATTTTTCAGAAGCACTGCCTTCCCCAATTTTGTGAACCCCAGCAACTCTCAGAATCTCTAGCCATCACTGGGCCAACAAGTATTCTAGCAAGGAGTATTACAGGAATTAATGCAATACACAAAACTAGGGCACTAGAATCAAGCAAATTGATTATTGGAATGTTTTGCTCAAGAGTTTAGGATGAACAAAAATGAGAGTCGGCTGTTATTTAACTAGACAGACTCAGTGACATATGCCAATCCATATAGGGGTTTTTTTGGGGGGGGAAGAATGGGGCAATTTTCTATAGCACAGTTGTGTAAATTGGCGGGGCCATTTCTAAGAGCCTGAGCACAGCATAACACAAGAAAGCCTCATATCATGCAGAAAAATTCTCCTTTTTCCCCCCTCAGCCAGTTCTCATTCAGCTGGGTGGCCAGCCTTACCTCCCCATGCCTATATCAAGCTGCGTCTCCATGCACTAGTATCTGCCAGGACAATGCATGCTCTTCTGTTGCATAATCATTTATTGGATTGGATTTATGAGCTGTCCAACTCCAATGGGACTCATTTTCCAGGATGCCCAGTTTTGCTTGGCAGGCAGGAGGCTAAGAAGTAGGAAACTCTCAAGAATCCAAGAGCGTGTCATTATTAGCGGAAGTAAAGCTCGGTAGCCCCCATGAAAGAATTCTAGCAACTGCACTATTTCAAGACCAAACTCTGCTTCCATATTCAGTATTCCTTTGCCCTCTTTCTCTTTCTCTTTCCTATCCCATATGAAGATATGAAGGAAAGACCAATTGCCATCTGTCCCTGGTTTGTGACATGGTTAGCTTTGCTTTCATGGTGTTTTTCACTGGCTAAAGGTTCCCCTCGCACATGTGCTAGTCGTTCCCGACTCTAGGGGTGGTGCTCATCTCTGTTTCAAAGCCGAAGAGCCAGCGCTGTCCAAAGACATCTCCGTGGTCATGTGGCCGGCATGACTAAATGCCAAAGGTGCACGGAGCACTGGTACCTTCCCACCAAAGGTGGTCCCTATTTTTCTCCTTGCATTTTTTACGTGCTTTCGAACTGTTAGGTTGGCAGAAGCTGGGACAAGTAATGGGAGCTCACCCCATTACACGGCACTAGGGATTCGAACTGCTGAACTGCCGACCTTTCGATCGACAAGCTCAGCGTCTTAGCCAGTGAGCCACCGTGTCTCTTTCATTGGCTAGGGGAACAGAAAAGGAGCAAGGATGGGGACATTAGATCTGTTGCTGTTGCTGCACCCTTTTTAGCATGTGGAGCATGAATGGACACATTTTTTTTAAAAAAAATCCCAGAATGGTAAATAAGGCTTTGCATCTTTTAACCCCAAAGCATCAGTATCAGGGCAACATCATTCATTATTGGCCATCCTAGTGGGGACTGCTGAGAGCTGTAGTGTGAGAGCCTCTGGAAAGCAATAGGGACATTTGCTTGTTGATAAATTGCTGAGCTATTTCAACAGACATCAGCTCTGGGTTCCACAGATAAGCAAGGTGGATCTGATTGATCCAGCAAGTGGGAGGGTGGGACACTCCTAGGAATGTCAGGATCATAAACTCAATTACAGATACAGATTAACAGTGTTGGAATTTTTTAAACTATCGGTTCTGAGTGCGGTGGGCGTGGTGTGGCTTGGTGGACATGGCTTGGTGGGCGTGGCAGGGGAAGGATATTGCAAAATCCCCATTCCCTCCCCACTCTGGGGCCAGCCAGAGGTGGCATTTGCCGGTTCTCTGAACTACTCAAAATTTCTGCTACCTGTTCTCCAGAACCTGTCAGAACCTGCTGGATTTCACCCCTGGTTGGAAGGGACCTTGTATGTCATCTATTTTTTATATTTTATACAAGTATATTTATACAAGTATCTATTATACTTGTATGGTCATCATTGTTGGACCATAAGAAAGGCTGAGTGCCAAAGAACTGAGGCCGTTGAACTATGGTGCTGAAGAAGACTCCTGCGAGTCCCTTGGACTGCAAGGCGATCCAACCGGTCAGTCCTAGAGGAGATCAACCTGACTGCTCTTGAGAAGGCCAGATCCTGCAGATGAAACTCAAATACTTTGGCCACCTAATGAGAAGGAAGGACTCCCTGGAGAAGAGCCTAATGCTGGGAATGATTGAGGGCAAAAGAACGGGACGACAGAGAACGAGGCGGCTGGATGGAGTCATTGAAGCAGTCGATGTGAGCTTAAATGGACTCTGGGGAATGGCAGAGGACAGGAAGGCCTGGAGCAGTGGTTCTCAACCTGTGGGTCGGGACCCCTTTGGGGGTCGAATGACCTTTTCACAGGGGTCGCCTAAGACCATCGGAAAACACATTTTCAATGGTCTTAGGAATAATGTTATTGTTGGGGGTCACCCCAACATAAGGAACTGTATTAAAGGGTCGCAGCATTAGGAAGGTTAAGAGCCACTGGCCTGGAGGAAGGTTGTCCATGGGGTCGCGATGGCTCAGACACGACTTTGCAACTAACAACAAAAGGTCATCTAGTCCAACCCCACCCATCCCAAAGCAGGAAGCCCTACACCATTTCTGACAGATGGCAAACCCCGCCCCCCCCAAATCTCAAAGGTGGCAGTGACATCTTTACAAAGGTGGTGAATTACTCTGGGTCGTGAATGGCTTCTGCTCGACTGCACGGCAGGCGGAAATTCAACAGGGATCCTTTTGTCTCCCCCGAGGCTGCAAGGGGGAAAGTCTCCCACGGTGAATTGTGAAGCGCTGAATCATACCACGTTCCTCGTTTTTTTTTGTTTTTTTCTCCCTCTCCTGAACCCGAATGCCTGCTTGCGCCTCCCACCCCCCACACGCGCTCGGACACACACTCCACCCCACGCCCACCCCTTGTTTGCTAACTCGCGGGGAACTCCCGCTTGCCTTCCAGGAGGCACCCGGTTCCTGGGAAGCCAAGCCCTAACCCTACACCTGACCACCCAGAAGATTACTTCTGAGTAAGCAGAAACCTGCTGCACGAAGGCAGGGAGGGCACCTGGCGCAATGCAATGAAGCAAAACGGGGGGGAAACCCCTTACCCTTGAATTTATCTAGCCTGTCTCCCTTCGAGCCCCGCCCACTCCTTTCCTAGCCCCGCCCTAAGACTGCGAAGGGACCGCGACTCCTGAATCCCTTTCAGGCGGGCGAGTCCATCGATCCTGGCGCTGTCCGTCCCGGAGGAGAATGAGATTTCAGGGCGCCCCTAGCCTCCAAAGGATCCCAAGTTGGCAAGAACGGTGATCTTCCCCGAAGAACCGGGGGCGAAGCAGCCTGTTTGCCCCCTTGGTGATTTCCCTTCCTTTCAAAAGACCCCCATCACTTCCAGTCTAGAGAGGTAAGTGCGCCACGCTTAGAGGATGCTTTGTCGACACGTGTTGGAAGGCTCAGACGTACCGGGTTGGGAAGGAAGGTTGGGAACCTAGGACCCAGCTCTCGAAGGGTGGGAAAAAAAAAAAACAACTATTGAGATTGGGCTGAATTTTTTATGGATTCATTGATTCCATAAAATCAATGGGGTTTTAAATTGGGGGGAAGCCAATATAAATTTATTTTTGTTTTTATAATATTTTAATGTTTATATTGTATGTTTTTTAATTTTGGCTGTTCACCGCCCGAGTCCTTCGGGAGAGGGGGCGGTATAAAAATTTAAAAAATAAATAAAATGAATAAATACATTCGGTGGCTGTCTTGATTTGGAGGCTTTAAAGGAACCCGATGTCCCAGCGATTTGTTGATGTGGGTATCCATTCACTGCTTATAAACAATCTTCAAAGAATATCCGAGATGGTTTACAAGGCAAAGAAATCATCCTCACAACAGCCTTGCCAGGTAGGATGAGGCTGAGGTAAAGAGAAGGAAAGGGAGGAAGGAAGGGAGAGGTTAAAGAGAGAAGGATCTCAAGCATTGGAGATTAGAGGAGAGACTTGAGGTGACAGTTCCCAGCTGTGCAAAGCAGATCCCTAATGAAGGGTATCTTGGGATTCACAATGAGTTTTGGGGAGATGTTTGAGTCTGGGCCAGATAACCCTAAGATAAGCGGTGTCCCTTATTACTATCAATATTTTGTATTGAAAATGTTCCTCCTTATTAAAGGGTGTCATCAGACCAGAATATCACTGATCTAGGATACTTCTGAAATAATCTTCTCATTATGGCTTTCCATTTTTGTCAGACTGTTCCCCTATGACTATCATTAAGTGTTGTACAAATGTATCTTTTCTTTTATGTACTCTGAGAGCATATGCACCAAGACAAATTCCTTGTGTGTCCAATCACTCTTGGCCAATAAAGAATTCTCTTCTCTTCTCTTCTCTTCTCTTCTCTTCTCTTCTCTTCTCTTCTCTCCTCTCCTCTCCTCTCCTCTCCTCTCCTCTCCTCTCCTCTCCTCTCCTCTCCTCTCCTCTCCTCTCCTCTCCTCTCCTCTCCTCTTCTATCCCCCCCCAAACCCCACTGCTTTTTGCAAATAGTGTTGGGCACAAGTTGGAAAAAAAATATGTAAAAGGAATTGCAGGCAGGTGCTAACCAGGTATCTTTGCTGCCAGTATGGATTCACACATGCATCCATTCTGATGTGTATCAACGGTGGCAGTCTCTGCTCCCCCATGCAACTGCAACGCCCCATATTTTTCAACCTGGAGGGCAGGAAATATCTTCTGGCTGCACATAATGGACATGGCCTGAAGAAGGAACTCATAGGTAAATATTAAACGGTGAACTTTGTTTTCATAATTATTGGGTGGAGCTATTTTACTGTAAAAAGCAACTGCCTTCCTTTGGATTTTTTTTTTTTTTTTTTGCTGTTGACCTTGTCAAACACCAATGAAATAGTTCAGACTCATACAAATTGTATCTTGGATTCATTTGTTTTGTTCCTGCTTAATACTAAGACACAACAATGACTGTTTATCATTTATCCCATTCTATAGCCAGGAAACATAGAATAAGTAAGTGGACATTCCCAGTCTGATAGACTGAGAATACAGTTCCCAGAATTTCAAGCCAGAAATTGGCCAAGTTGGCAGGGGATTCTGGGAACATCAGTCCCAAAACATCAGCAAGAATGGGGTTGAGGAAAATTGGTTTGGGCTTTGGAAGACAGAAGAGCTGGGGAAAATTGCTTTCCTGGTGTAATATATTTCTTCTTCTTCTTCTTGTGCCCTATCCGTCATCGGACATTGGCGATCATGTTGGCGATCCTATTTTTATCAACAGCCACACAAAAAAGTGCGGTTGAGTTTTGTCCAAACCTGTCCTTTAGATTTTGAAGCCATGATATTCTTCTTCTGCCTGGACCTCATTTGCCTTCAATCTTTCCTTGGAGGATTAAGTGAAGTATGGCATATTTTTCTGGTTGTTGCATCACATGTCCGAAATATTCTAACTTTCGCTTTTTTATGGTTTGGATGATTTCCTGTGGGCTTTCCCAGGCAGCTTATCACCTCCTCATTAATATATAATTTGGTCTTTGGACCAAGTGTCACTGGAAAATGACACTTGTGTCAAATGGATGTGGGTTGGGTGCTTTTAATTCCTATCAGCTCACAGATGGCCCCCACTTTGAAGAGAATCTCGCAAGAATGTTTTGGGAATGGTGCGGGGTCTGGACTTTACCTGGCCCTGGTCATGTGAAGAAAAGGTGAGGGAGGTAACCCTAGATGGCGAGCTATTTTTCCATGATGTCCTGAACAAAATGCTATCTATTCTTGGGGTAGTTGCAAGATATTTAGTTAGTGGCTTAACATCCAGAGCTGGTGGAGGATTATGGGCAAGAATCAGTGTAGAACCCATCCCAGCACAAAACTTCCCTCCCCCCCAAATGATGCAGACCTCCTCCAGGCTTGGTCCAAAAAAATAGATGACATCTTTTTTTCCCCGTACTGGATGGGTTGCTCACAATCCTGAAACATAAGAAAGCTTAAATTAGACTTAGACATAGAATAACTTTATTGTCACTTTGAATCAGGGGTGGGTTCTACTCACCTTCACTACCGGTTCGCATCATGCCCATGTGCGGGTGCTCTTCTGCGCATGCGCAGATCACTTATGATGATGTCCAGGTCAGTGGGTGGAACTTCCCACCGGTTTTATAACCGGTTTTTGCGAACTGGTCCAAACCGGGGGAACCCACCACTGCTTTAAATGCATACTAATCAGCATTCATTAAAACGAAATTTCATTGCATACAGCTCTCATAGGGGCACCACCTCCAATATACACTACATAAACACGACAAAATAAATAAATAAATAAATAAATAAATAAATAAATAAATAAATAAATAAGTACGTACGTACATACATACATACATACATACATACATACATACAAAATTAAGCATATACCCATATATATTATATGAGATGGAGAAACAACCATGTAGTTCGGATGTCTACCTGTACCTGCTGAGAAAAACAAATCTTACAAGTTTACCAGACAGATGGCATAGGGAACAAAACTGTTACAGATTAATGGACCATTCCAGAGAATTCTCACACAAAAGGGATTAATTGGGAAAGGAAGCTTAGAAAACATAAGTAAGCACCTTTTGGCATCTTTAAGAGAAACTTTTTTAACAGAATAACAGAGTCGGAAACAACTTTGTAGGTCATCTGGTCCAAGCCCCCCCCCCATCCAAGCAGGAGACCCTACACCAGTGATGGCTAACCTTTTTGCCATCGCGTGCCAAAAGCAGAGGGAGTGTGGGAGGGTCATGCGCGTGTGTGCCCACACCCATAATTCAATGCACCCTGCCCCCCCACGCATGCGCACGTGACCCCTCCCCCCATGCTCCCTTTAGGCATGTGATGGCATGGTGGGCCCGGTAGGCCTGTTTTTCGCCCTCCCCAGGCTCCAGAGGCTTTCTGGGAGCCTGGGGAGGGCAAAAACGGCCTTCCCTACCTTCTTAGAGGCCCTCCGGAGGCTGGAAACAGCCCATTTCCCAACTTCCAGCGGCCCGAAAATCAGCTGGCTGGTGCATACATGTGCGCTGGAGCTCAGCTAGGGCAATGCTCGTGTGCCCACAGATATGGCTCCGCGTGCCACCTGTGGCACACGTGCCATAGGTTCGCCATCATGGCCCTGCACCATTTCTGACAAGATGGCAGTCCAGTCTCTTCTTGAAAGCCTCTAGTGATGAAGCTCCCACAACTTCTGAAGGCAACTTCTGTTCCATGGGTTGATTGCTCTCACTGTCAGAAAGTTTCTCCTTATTTCTAGGTTGAATCTCTCCAGTTTCCATCCATTGTTCCTTGTCTGGCCTTCAGGTGCTTTGGAAAGACTAACAGTCTTACTGTTGCATAAATGTCAGATCACTTTATTTGATGTATGGGGTACAATCCTAAAAGAGCAACTTTATATATAAACATTGGTTGGGGAAAAAAAGGGAGGGAGAGGGAAAGGAGAAAGAATTTCCAAGTAGGAACTAAGTAATCTTACACAGGCATTTATAAACTGAGGAGCTGGGATATTATATAGAATGCAAATGTAAACAAATGGACGCACTTGCATGATACATTTAACCTGGTCCTTTATTAACCCATAATCTTGGTTTGTCTGATGAAGACTAAAGCCAGCTTCTAGTTTAGCTCATTTCCTACTGGCTACACCCGTGTTGTTTTCTTGGCACTATATAATGAACTATAAACAAACCAAAGAGGGCAAAAAAATGCTAAGCCACAAAGGTTTATATGAACTAACTTACATCGTCTGCTTGTGCAAACACAGCCACTGGAAATTGAACAGACCTAACTTCTTTAGCCACGAAGTTAAATCGCTTAATGAATTTTAAGCGATTTAACTTCACTAATGTCCCGGAAGTCTGTTTTTGTAACGCTTTCATTCAAGGCCATCTTGAGGATGGTAATGGGGCTAGCTGAATCCAGGAGTGGGCTTCAAAAATTTTAGCAAGGGGTTCTCTGCCCGGTTGCTGGTCTCCTGCACCATGGCGGGGGGTGGGGGTGGGGTTTGCCCTCCCCAGGCTCCAGAGGCTTTCTTTGAGCCTCCGGGAGGGTGAAACCAGCCTCCCCAGGCTCTAGAGGCCCTCTGGAGCCAGTTTCTGGCTTTCCCGAACTTCTGGTTTTTCGCCCTCCTCGAGCCTCCATGCGCCCTGCACTTACCTGCATCCAAACAGGCCGCATGGAGACTCCTGGGAGGGGCAGGGCGGGTGGGGCCAGCCAGGAGTGGGATTTGGAGGTTCTCCGAACTGCACAGAATCTTAGCCAGAGGTTCTCCCGAACTCCTGCGAACCCCCAGGCTGAATCTCCCCACCAGTTTTTGGATACCGCTAGGTCTGCTCGTTCTTTGCCGCAGCTTTGTCCAACCTGAGCACTTTTCAAA